GCGGCGGCGAAAGCCTCCGCCAGCAACTTGCCGCCAACGTTGCCTGATTCCAGTGTGGTTCCCTTCACAACGATGCAAGCGGCAGTGTCCAAGAACATGGTGGAGAGTCTCTCCGTTCCCACATTCCGCGTTGGTTATCCCGTGAACACAGATGCACTCGATGCGCTGTACGAGAAGGTGAATTGATGGAGATGACCATTGTTTTGATGTTGTGCTAGAATAGAGCTTCGAAGTCAACATCGCATTTGAATACTGCTTCTGGTTTTCTACAGGTGAAGCCAAAGGGTGTGACAATGACTGCGCTTTTGGCGAAGGCTGCAGCCATGGCTCTTGCTCAGCATCCTGTGGTGAATGCAACCTGCAAAGATGGAAAGAGCTTTACTTACAATAGTAACATAAACATTGCAGTGGCTGTGTCTATCAATGGTGGATTGATCACACCTGTTCTTCAGGATGCAGATAAGGTAACTAACCCATGCAATGAAGACATGGATTGTACTTGTTATAGGGTAGTGCTAGCTTTTGTCCACTCTCTTTTACTGAACCCAGTCATGTGTTTCTTGTTCTAGTTGGATTTGTACTTGCTATCCCAAAAATGGAAGGAGCTGGTGGGGAAAGCCAGAGCTAAGCAACTGCAACCACATGAGTACAGCTCTGGTACTTTTCCTCTATTGTTCAGAATTCAGATTCTTTCTGATTATTCATATTATGTACATTGGACATTGGAGACAGAGTAATGTGAAAATGATGATGTTGAATTACATGGAGATCAAGGGCTTATACGTATACGAATGCAGGGACATTCACTTTATCCAATCTAGGCATGTTTGGAGTGGATAGGTTCGATGCCATTCTCCCCCCAGGCCAGGTATGTTGAATTTGAGTATTGTATTTAGTTTCATCACTTCCAAGATCAACTATTAGGAAGACCCGAAAAATTTGCTTACACGATCTCCGCCTCCAGGGTGCCATCATGGCTGTTGGAGCCTCAAAGCCGACCGTAATCGCTGATTCTGATGGGTTCTTCAGCGTGAAAAACAAAATGCTGGTAAGTCCGACTCTGATTTCTAATTCATGAGAACAACTTTAGGATGCCACATAGCTCGGTTTAGTGCATTTGATTTTGATAACTGCACTCGTATGAAAGCATTCTCCATCATAAAAAGTCGGAAGAAGGTTATATGCTTGGGTATGTTCAGTTCTTTTGATCTCTGTGGAAAATGGGTAGGGGTGAAAAATGAATTCAAAGGATTGTGACAAGCCCAACAAAGAAGACAGACCATCATAGGTTGGAGGATCTCTTAGGTGAAAAAAACTAGTTTCCATCGGCTTTTGCAAGTTGCAACTGATGTCGGATCCCCTGTAGTGATTCATACTCTACATGACTATATGCTCGAAGCCAGCATTTTTCGTAGGCTACCCTTTTTGTAGTATTGGCTGCAGATGGTAGAACCGGTTTTAGGTTGTTTTGAAGAAACCCTTGGACCTAAAGAGCCGGTCTCCAACTGTACTTTTATAGAACCCGTAGATTCTATAAGGGGTTTGCCGCTACTTAATTGGAGACCGGCGAATCCTAGAACGTTATATGAGACACTTTCAACCTCTTTCGCCGCTATTCTGTCGGAGACCGGCGTATCTTAGTCGATACTTTGAGAGAATGACAATCTCCAAATGATCTAAATACTTTATTGATCAAGTAATATAGCTATTTGTATAAAGTATAAACCCTACATGATCATAATCATATGGTTAATGAAATAGCTTGCTTCACCCCATATCCATCCTTCACTACCATAATAACTAGTCAGTCATATATGATGAACTATATAACCAAAGAGGAGTCGGGAATTCATCGTTTATTTTATTTATATTTTCCAGGTGAATGTAACGGCGGATCACCGGATTATATACGGTGCCGACTTGGCTGCTTTCCTTCAGACATTTGCAAAGATTGTGGAAAACCCAGACAGCCTTACCTTGTAGAAAAACTCATCTCTCATCTGTTTTGTCTGTGTTCTTCCATTTTTGCACCGTTTTTTTTTTGGAAAAAAAAAGTTGTTTGTTTTAATCCTTCTTGGCTCACCATTCACTTTCATCACTTGAGGAGTTTAGCATTTTAGTAGACTAATAAACAGCCGGCCCCAGCCCGAAGGTTTCGGGTTTAGGTTCGAGTCAGCCGAATTTTTTCGGATCTATAAAATCAAACCAAAGTTTGGCTCTATAAGATTCAGCTTCAAGTTAGAATGGTTTGGTCCAGATCAACCTGATAAATTAGGTTTTTCTCTTTTTTTTCATTTGAATTATTTTTTTAATAACTTTTATTTTACAAATCAGATTGTCGGACCGGTCCGAAATCTATTGGGCTCAACCCGACTAAGTTCGAGGGTCTATTTGAACCGACCCAAAAGCCCGATTTTTTTTAAACAAACAAATTCAGGTCCAAACCTGATCATTTTTTGGCTGGTTTGAATTAGATTTCGGGTCTCGGATCAAAATTAACTCTATAGATCTAACGTTTAGTAGAATCTGACTTTGGATATGGATTTCTTGATTGTGGTCATTTTTTTGGGTAAAATTGAAGTCATTTTTTGGTATAATAAAACGGGATAAGATATGACCAAATCTAATCAAAATCTTACTATGATTAAAAATATGAATCCTAATGAGTATGGAAGTATGAAATTGTACCAGTATACATCTGTAACGAAATTTAAAAAAAATGAAATATTTTGAAAACTAATTATTGCCATCAAATTTTTATTGAATGCAAATTCGAACTAAAGTTAAATCAAATCAAATATTGAAAAAATGGAATAAATAGTTCTTTTTACAAAATAAAAAAACCGTCGTCGAAAACAAATAATCATTTTGAAAAAAAAAACTAAAAAAAAATAACAAAATGGAAATATCTACTGTAGATTTGAACTTAGAAAAAACGGTTTAGAATATTTGAGTTTAGAAAAAAACGGTCTGAATGAACCAGTTCGAGACGAGTCACCGAATTGGTTCGCGAGTCGAAAAAAATATTTATTTTTAATTTACAATATTTTTTATATTTTTAAATATTTTATATAAAAATTATATTTTTATTAGATATTTTGTTTGTTTTTATTTAAAATTTTATTTTTTATTATATTTATAATTTTTAAAATGTTTTTATATTTATAATTTTTTAAATATTTTTAATATTTAATTTTTAAAAAATTATATATTTCACCGAGGCGAGGCGAAGGCGATCTGTATTAGATTGATCAATTAAAAAATGGATTAGACTAAAATATGTTCAAATCGAAACGGATTGAATTAAGCCCGTTTGACAGCCCCTAATTTCCAAACTAAGTTTCGTGCTTATTATGTTAAAAGTCTAAATCATTCTATAACCATTTTCTCCGGCTGAGAACATATTTTATATGATTTCCCTGACCCTAAACATACATTTTTTCAATTAATAGATATACAAATATTTCCAGTCCCATCTCTCATATAAAAAAATGATAGGAAAAAACAAACGCTTTACAAATACGACGCCGTTTTCCTAATCTGTTTTTTCCGATCTCTTTTTTTACGCCGACGGCAAAGTCTCCGGCCGCAAAGGCAACACATCGCCGGAATCAAAACAATAGTCGGAATATTCGAACAGCTCATCGACCTCCACAAACCCTCCGCCGTCTCCGTCACCGACACCTAGTTCGAATGAGCCGCAACTCGTCATCTGGTCCTCAAATTCCCAGAACTCACCGACCTCTGACGAATCCGATGAGGCTCGCACCAACTCCGTCACCGTCTCCTCGTCCTTCGATTCGGAGCACGATGGATCATGCGGCAGCGCCGGAGGCGGAGGTAGGCCGAGTTCGTCGTCGGAAGCCTCTAGAAGGTACCCGAGATCCGGCTGAGTCTCGCCGGAACCTTGCCCCGTCATCGCCGACAACTCGTCCTCGAAGCTCTTCATGACCGAGTCGAGTTCCTGACTCGCCGGATCAGGGTCCGAGTCATCGAGGACATCGAGTAAGTCGTCCCTCAACCGCTTCACCTCGGGCGAGTCAATGTCTGACTCGCCCAGCTCGTCCCTGACTCGCTTCTTATCGGTTGAGTCTGCCCGAGTTCGCCTCTCCTCCTCGTCAGCCAACAAATCACCCATAGTTTCTGTTTTTTCTGGGGGCTACTTTTTTTTTCTCCCAGTGGCAATATTGAAAATAATGTGAGATATCGGTGCAGAATGGGAAGAAGGGAACACGAGGTTTTATAGTGGAGACAAGAGAGAGAGAATATGTAGAGAGAGAATGAGATAAACAGAGAGCGCGTGAGATTTGACGCAGACACAGGCGCGTGGGAGAGCGAATCCTTTGGGCATCACGGACCTCTCGCCTTTCTTTTTTTCTTTTTTTCCTCCTTTTCTTAGATTTATCTTTTTATTTTTTTAATTTTAAAAAGTCGTGATATATTCTTCCGTTATTAATCGGTTTGAATTCCAAGTTGAAGTCCGGTCAGTCATGGCACGTGCCCGGTCAATTACACCCCCTGGAATTTCATAAATTTAACATTTCCATTAATAAAATTGCTCCTCATAAATAATATTTTTACGTAATAACTTTTATTATTTTTTCAATAGATTCAATGCAAATAATATTTGGACCGACAATGAAAATCTTTATGTATTTTAATGTTCTGATCCAATTGAAAATAAAAAAATATATTTCACAATAAAATATTAGTTTTGATGAAGCCCAACACGCTAAAAAAAATCAAAACTTTGGTCTAGACTATAATTTCATAAGAATCATTTGTCCAAGTGGACTTGCATAACATTACAATTAATCTTTTTTGAACATATTCCTTTCATTTTCTCGATTTTGACTTGAAATCATTATGAATATTACAACCATATCTTATACATGCATATATATTTTCTTGTGAAGATTTTTATCTTTTGGTACAATCGTATATCCACCATCCAAATTTAAAAAAAACACACGAAGTAATCAATATCTACAGAATGTTTACACCTATTTATAAATACGGATGGTCATTTCGGATTTTGATTCGATTTTCGGTTCGATTATTTCGGATTCGGTTATTTCGGTTATAAAATCATAACCGAACGGTTATATAAATTAAATCGGTTCGGATTCAGTTCGGTTTTAGTACACCAAAATTATAATGGAACGGTTAAATTTGGATCTGTTTGATTCGGTTAAGTTATATTCGGTTATAAATAAACACTAACTTATAGAAACAAATTGTAAATAAAAAAATCTTCAAAAACTTTGAATTACATCATAATATTAACATTAATCCTTTAAAATCATCAATCTAAATCAAACTACAAAATATTAATCTTCCAAAATGTTTAATCCAAATTTTAAATCACAAAATCTTGGAAAGCTTTCACCATGTTTTATCTTTATTTATTTCAAAAAAAATATCATAAATTAATATATAATATATATAAAAATAAGATTTTAATCAAATAAAAAATCAACTTTTAATTATTTATAAATTAAAGTGTGAGATAACACTAAATGTATGAAAATTGTATAGTTCTATGAACTTGTGCATCAAAACATCTAAACCTGGATAGTTCAATCGGTGAAATAGGATACAAATTGTCTGTTCCGCCTCAAGTTCGAACCTCATATTTGGATAGAGAGCGTATAATCTAAATCACATGGTTGGTTTTCGAAACAATATATAGCAAAGATATCCTAAAATATTCAACACCCAAAAATACGGAAAACCTATCCTCACCTACTATTATTTATGGAATTCAAAGACGTGTTTTAATTATCACACAAATTGTTTATATATATATATATAACCAATTACTTGGGGAATTAAAACGAATTTGTTGTGGAAATGAAAAGAAAACGAAAGGAAAAAAAGATGATTAAGTTGAGAAATATAAGCTTCGGATTGATTAATTTTGTGGATTTTTCAGAAATCAAGGAGTAGGTGGACAGTCCAAAGAGGTTGAGTCTTGTGGCTAAATATTAGGGAGTTGTAACCATTATCTATCACTGCACCAATAAAAATTGACGAACTAATATGCACCTCATTGTAAACCATTTTAAATATTAAAATAAATAATATATCATGGACCTCCAATTTATTACTATCATTATATGGGGTTACCATCACACAAAAACAAACCTTTTCTTCTCTTGACTATCAAATCATTTATTTCCAGTCCCACCCTTTTAAATATGTGGGTGTTTAACCGAATAGATCGTGGGCGAGTGGTCAAGATTGTGATAGAAAGTAACTCCACCTTGAGATTGAGTGTTCGATTTCTGGCTAGTGGGAGGAGTAATTTCTGGGTTTATATAATCCATATATAAAAGTTACTCTCGGGCCGGAGGTTTACCTAGTCAGCGCATTCGAAGGGTAGCAGTTAGGGATCCTCCGTTATAAAAAAAAATGGGTGTTTAAATAGACAGAAATAAAATTCTATAAAAATAACGTACTAATAAGAGATGAAAAAGATGTTCCAATAGATATTAGATAAACGATGAAATGAAAAAGATGTTCCAATAGATATTAGATAAACGATGAAAAGAAAATTGTTTGATGTGAGCGAAATCACTAGTCGAGATATTAGGGTTCATATATATAATTTCATAATTTCGTAATGTAATCTGTATTATATTAATGTTAAATCACTTTTTTTATGTCAAAGTTTTCAACTATTTATGCAATTCTAGTTATCGTTGTTGGAGTTTTTTTTAATTAAATGAAAGGAGAATTTTTTGTATGTTATAATTCTCCACATTTATGTTTTTAAAAATTTTAAAAATGTATTTATGATTTTTTGGGAGTTTTACAAGTTTTAAATCCTATAAATAGGAGACTTTGCTTCACTTTTCAAAAAAACAAGAACACACTAAGAAAAACAAACAAGAGTTTTCTAAACAAAAGAAAACACAGATTTTCTCTTTGTGATTCAAACCGTTCTTTGAGTTCGACAAGGCACAGGAGTTTGAAGTACCACTGTTCCGGTGAGGTACGTCCGTCCTATCCTGGGAGGATATATTCCATTAACCGTAGGTACCGCGCGGGGAATAATTTCCTTAAGGAGACACGGTTCGCCGTGGGTTCGGATTTGGTTTTCCGGTTTTAAAAATCATATTGATATAATGATGTTGGTTTGAACATAACTTTCTATACCGTTATCGGAATTGCATGTTCTTGACGTCGTTTCATAGATATCGAAATTATCTTTCTACTGATGTATGACATGCATGATGTGGTTGTATATTTTGAAAGTTATTAAGCTCGAAGTTCTTGGAATGTAATTGGAAGTTAATAAAGCATGAATATGAGACATATAAAATAACACACCCAACAAGTTTAAGGAAATTACTGTGTATTGTGTTATTATATATTGTCTTGTTATTGGTGGAAAAACGAATTTTCGTCCCCGGGGAGACAAAGTAAAGTTTTTCAATTTCGGAAAAAAAAAACCGATAAAATATTTAAGTGTTGACGGTGAGAAAGTTTTGCCAAGGAAAGAGGTTGGATAATTATGCGCTCTATATATAGAGTTGGCTCCCTCTTACCTGGAAACGATCTAAATAACACTTAAATAGTTTTATGGTTTCCTCATTGAGGTTTTGAGATTATTACCCGCGTGGTTAAATAATCGAGTTCAGAAATTATTACCGTAAGGTTTTAAAATTCTGATAGTTTTAGTTGTAATACTAAAAAGTGGTATTCTGATTTTTCAGAAAATGGCTGAAAATGTTGCTGTTATGCCTGTGGTTGTACCCACAGTGACTCCCCCTGCACCAGCACCTGCGGAAAAACCGGCAAAGTTTTTCGGTGTTGATTTCAAGAGGTGGCAGGCAAAGATGTTCTTTTATTTGACAACATTGTCATTGCAAAGATACATCAAGGAAGATGCTCCTAAACCGGCAGAGTCTGTACCGGAAAAGGAACGCTTCGTGGTAGTTGAGGCTTGGAAGCACTCAGACTTCCTGTGTAAGAATTATATTTTGAGTGGTTTAGATGACTCATTATATAATGTTTTTTGTACTGCTTCTACTTCACGAGAATTGTGGGAGGCTCTCGAGAAGAAGTACAAAACTGAAGATGCCGGTATGAAGAAGTTCATAGCCGCCAAGTTTCTTGAATTCAAGATGGTTGACAATAAACCTGTCTCAACCCAAGTTCAAGAACTGCAAGTCATTGTTCAGAATCTTCTTGCTGAAGGTATGATGATCAATGAAGCTTTTCAAGTAGCTGCCTTCATCGAGAAGTTACCACCCTCGTGGAGGGACTTCAAGAACTACTTGAAACACAAGCGAAAAGAGATGTCGCTTGAAGACTTGATTGTCCGTCTGAGAATTGAAGAGGACAACAAGATGACCGAAATGAAAGCTCGCGGGACAAGCTCGGTCTTAGGAGCAAACGTCATTGAACATGCTCCATCTGTTGGTAAGAAAAGAAAGAATTATTCTAACCAAAAGAATAACCCGAATAAATTTATTAAGAAATTTAAGGGTTCTTGCCACAACTGCGGTAAGCTTGGTCACCGAGCTGTGGATTGTCGTGGTCCAAAGACCAAGAAGAAAAACAATGTTAACATCATGGAGATTGCTTCCGGAGTAGAAAATATTGATTTGTGTGCCATGATCTCTGAAGTTAACTTGGTTGGAAATCCCAAGGAATGGTGGATGGATTCCGGTGCTACCCGCCATGTGTGTGCCAATAAGTGGATGTTCTCATCTTATGTTCCCGCTAAAGATGGAGAAACTGTGTTCATGGGAAATTCCACAACTGCGAATGTTGAAGGGACTGGAAAGGTTGCCCTCAAGTTGACCTTCGGAAAGATAGTGACTCTCACTAATGTTCTTCATGTACCGGAGATTCGGAAGAACTTAGTGTCGACATCACTTATGGTGAAACACGGATTCAAATGTGTTTTTGTTTCCGATAAGCTTGTAATAAGTAAGAATGACATGTATGTTGGAAAAGGTTACCTCACTGAGGGACTTTTCAAACTCAATGTAATGACCATGAATGGCAATAAGAATGATTCTTCCGCTTACTTACTCGAGTCGAATAATCTATGGCACACTAGATTGGGACACGTGAATTACAAGTCTTTGAGAAAAATGATCAATTTGGAATTGTTGCCCAAATTTGATTGTAAGCAATCAAAGTGTGAAGTCTGTGTTGAATCTAAGTTTACTAAACATTCTTTCAAATCAGTTAAGAGAAGTAGTGAACCTCTAGACTTAATTCATACAGATATTTGTGACATGAAATCATCACCATCTCGCGGTGGCAAAAAGTTTTTTATAACTTTTATTGATGATAGCACACGATATTGCTATGT